CTCTCTCTCTCCCCCTCCCTCTCTCTCTCTCTCTGCTTTGTGTTTGCAGCTGACGATGTGATCACTCAGATCCCCATCCCGTTGCCTACGGCTGCGCCTCCCTCACCCCCTCACCAAATGTGCTCTAACCACCTGAAACTGAAAGCTGAAATAAACTTTCCTCATTAAGTTGCCTCTGGTCATGGTGTTTATCACAGCATCAGAAGACTGACTAATACATGATCCTTCCTGCTTAGACTCCCAGTAGCTGGGACCACAGGCATGTGCCAACCATGGCTAGCTCTCAATTTACTTAACTGCAACATGAAAGTTATATACATTATCAGTGCAACATTTAATGCTTTGGTATGTTTAACTCAGATTAAATATATCCAAATTAAACATTTTTTTTTCATTTCTTTATGGTGAAAACTTTCAAAATTCTTCCTCCTAGAAACAAAAGGAATGCACACACAGAACACTGCCACTTTCTGTTCTCACGGTTCTGTGCAGCAGTACTGGGGAGCTTCTTGTCCTAAGCAGCTCTCAGTACCCATTAGCCCCTCATTAGCCCCAGGGACCTCACGCGTGCCACACAGGCATCCCTATCCCTTGGAGATCGGCGCTAACCCCGAAGAGCCAGGCTGGCTGTCCCAACGTTACCTTCAGAAGTTTGTTGCTGGTAAGGAAATCAGCGGAAGGCTTGAGAATGGTGGTCATGGATTTGGTCAGCTCCTCGTGCACCGTCTTATATTCAGATGTGATATACGGCTCGGCCTTATAGGCAAACTTTAAAGAAAAAGAGAGAAAGAGACTTTACTCACTGGTTCTTTCAAGTTGAGGGGCAGAAAGCTTGTGAGGCCTCTGAGAACAGAGATCGGGACTGAGGTGCACATTCAAGGGTGGGAGAAGGGATGGAAACGAAGGTGGGAAGGGTGATCGTCATGTGACAGAGAGCGTGTCTAAGATGTCTCTAGCAATCCATCTGAAACATGGCAACTGTACACGTCAGCAGTTCAGAGCTCACCTAGCACACAATTCATCAGTAATGGGACCTTCTAGAAACATGTCACAGGACAGACTAACAGGTCCCGGAGAATCCAAAGTACCACACAGCCAAAGTTCACATATCACAGGATGTGTAACTTTTTAGAATGGTGTTTGTCACTACGCTCATTTAATACTACATATCAAGAACCTCTTGCTGTTTATCACAACAATACCTCATGCTGTTCCACACAGCCTTTGGATTTGATTGTGGCCAGAGTTAACCTTCCATTCTCAAAAGTAACAGGGACGCTGGGGATTTTAGGTGGTTTAAAAAGGTATATAAAGATTGCCAATGTATAAGATGTCTGCGCAAGATCACTTAAAACAATTCTTGTTTCATTCCCCTGAGAGTTGAGCTACATTCATCTTTTTAAAAGATAAAATTAGGTAAATGAAGGAATGGCTGCCTCTTTTCTAGTTCCTCCTTGTCCAGGTACAAGCCTTGGCAGCGGAGACCAGAGAGAATACATAGGTATTAAATTCCGAATGCACCCCTTAAATGACAAGTCTTGTTAGAAAGAAGTCTTTGGAAGGAAACTTGGAGAGCCACAGCTGTAAATGATCGTAGCAGCTTGACTTATGTGTTTATTTATTTTACATACCTTAACATATGACCTCAAGTGGCTCTCCAATCCTTCCTCATGGCACTGGGCAACCACATGAATAATGACCCTACACACCACAGGGATGAATAAAGCAATGAGTAGTGATGTGGAAATGGGAACATTTCATTATCTTCACAGCAGAACAAGGGTGACGCCATTGCACTCAGCAAACAAGCAGACAAGGAGTCAGACGGGTGCCTCCGTGCGAGGTTAAAAGACATCGCTCCAGCATAATGACCATCACATACTAGCATCCCAGGTAGGCTCCAGGTGTGGATGGACTGAAGGGAAGAAGAGTATGGATGCATCCATCCATCCATCCATCCATCCATCCATCCATCCATCCATCCATCCATCCTTCCATCCACCCATCCTTCCATCCATCCATCCATCCTTCCATCCATCCATCCTTCCATCCATCCATCCATCCATCCATCCATCCATCCATCCATCCTTCCTTCCATCCTTCCATCCACCCATCCTTCCATCCATCCATCCTTCCTTCCATCCATCCATCCATCCTTCCATTCATCCATCCTTCCTTCCTTCCTTCCTTCCATCCATCCATCCATCCTTCCATCCATCCATCCATCCATCCATCCATCCATCCATCCATCCATCCTTCCTTCCACCCATCCTTCCATCCATCCATCCTCTCCCTTACCGAGTCACATTAACGGCAACCTCCTCCTGAGTGGCTCTGGTGAGGACTCGGAACAGCTGGTTTAGGATGGTGGGCAGGAAAGCGATCATCACATGGCCTTCCATTGCGTGCAGACTCTACACACAGGGAACGGTGAGACACGTGTTACATTTTTTAAAATCTATTTCATTTCAGTTATTCTCTTTGAGATGGAGGTCTTGCTACATAACCCAGGCTGAACTGGAATTCACGGCTGCCAATGACCGTCACATCTCAGCCTCCCAAGCGCCTGTGTCAACAGGTGCATGCCACCACACCCCACTGGCTTATCAAGGCAATGTCCACTTCATTTCAAATGAGCACGGAAGCACTCCCTCTAAAATACATGGGAAGCTGAGGGCAAGCAGAATGGCATTCAAGGATGCCTGTGTCCTAAACTGCAGGCTCCGTGAAGATGCTCCACAGTGAGGGGGAAGAAGGACCATTAACTAGTTGTCCTTAACAGGGCGTCTACAGTGGACCAGTGTAATTACAAAAGGTCTTTAAAGCGCAGAGAGGCAGAAGAGGAATCACGAGGGGCTGTGACCAAGAAGAATGGTCAGGCAGCCATAGCTGTCTCTGAAGTGGAGGAAGTGGAGGAGAAGCTAACGGTCATAATGTCCCGTGTGTTCATTTTTAAATATGTAGGCCGTTTTCTCTGGATCAGACCTAATATAAGTCCCTACTCCATTTCTTGCATCTTATTTTGTCCTACACCTGGAATGCCACTTAGTGACTCTGTATTCAAAGCACTCTTCTACAATCCTTCTGTACTGACGTCCCCCCTGTCCTGCTGTCAATGCTACACAGTGGCTCCAGGAACACACCTAACTCCCGCAGACAGCTGGGTCAGGCTCGCTGTCTTACCTCTGTCTACCCAGGAGGCTGCCATCAAGTGAGTATTAAGTTCTCTAAGGGTCAGGACTGTTGGGATTTGAGTGTGTCCTCCACAAAGCTTGTGATAGAAACTAATCCTCAATGCAAAATCAAGAAGAGATAGGGTCCAAGGAGAGGTGATCAGACCATGGGGGCTCAACCTTGAGGAATGGATCACGGAGACTGCTAGAGTGGGTTCCTTAGAAAATGATGAGTTTGTCTCCTCCTCCTCCTGTCTACCACCCAGCTCTTGCCTTGATCCTCTCATAGCCCTCTGCACTATGAGAAAAATACATTTCTGTTCTTTAGGATGATCCAGCTTCAGGTATTCTGCTACAGTAGCACCAAACAGGCTAAGCTGGGACAGCGTCTCCTGTGCTTAGCAGCTGGTAAACATCCAGCAAAGGTCTGTCAGGTGAGCACAGGGACGAGCATGCATGCAGGAACAGAGCTATTTCCGAGTTCACTCTGGTCCCCTATCTACAGACACTCAAAGCCACCACTGTGAGAGCATCCAGGTAGGAGCATCTTCACACAAGCTTACAAGGGGCAGTAAGCAACAATACCCACCACCAACAGGGAAACCCAATTTATTTCCAAAGCCACTTTAAAAAGGGACTAAGAAAGCCACCTGGTACCTTTAGGTATTTTACAAGTTCATTCCCTGAGGCTTGGGCTCCAGATTCCGTTTTCTGACAGTACTGGAAAAAATTATGTAAATGCTGATCCTGAGGGGCAGAGAAGGAGAAGAACGTCTGTTAGTATATGCTTCTAGAAACAGGAGAATCCTGCTTCAGGGAACAAACCCGAATGGCATATATTTATGCCTCTGTGTGCGTGTGCGTGCGCGTGTGCGTGCGCGTGCGTGTGCGTGTGCGTGTGTGTGTGTGTGTGTGTGTGTGTGTGTGTGTATGCATTTCTGTGCATCTGAGTACATGTGTGTAGGGCTGCACACACTAGTGTGTATGAAGAGGATGGAAGAGGAATTGGGAGTCCTCCTCTATCGCTCTGCCTAGCCCTTTGAGGCAGGATCTCTCTTCATTGAACACAGAGCTGGGAGGCAGCAGGCCCTAGTACCCCCATGTCTCTGATACCCTTGGAAGTAGGGGGATGGGCATGGGTGAGATGCTTGGCTTGTTTGTTCCATGGGATCTGAACTCTGACCTTCATGATTTTGTACTGGGTGCCCTTTACCACGGAGTCATCATGAACGCTCTTTAAGATTATAAAATTGACCATGTACAAATGACATCCATAGGATCCTCCAGCACAGGAAAACAGCTGAACAATGCCACAGACTTATCAATTACTTTTCATGTGTATCAGCACACATAAGCACCTCCCGTGTACTTTTTCCAAATAAAGGCCTCTAGTGTAATGATACATTCACAGGACACCAGGATTCTGTTTTACACAGACAGCTTGGTCACAGAGTAGTCACTGGAATGAGATCGCTAACCCATACCTGAGTGTACACCGTGGAAACCAGATGAGTGGAAATTTTCAACAGAGGCTTGCCTCCTTCTACCCACTTAATTTCTGGACCATAATGCTGAAAGGAAAGACAGGGAAAGATCCCAACAGGTTAGCTATCTCAGCTCGCACACAACCATCACGCAGGACCCCGAGGAGGGGCAGAAGGCCCCAAGGCTCCAGTGGCTGCAGCGCTGCGCCTGGCCACAGCAGCAATGCCGCCGCCACCACCACCGCCGCCTCCACCGCGGCGTTTGCGTTGTCTGCCCAGCTCCTTCCCCTCAGCGCACTGCCCTTCCTCCTAGGACCGAGATGACAGTCCATTTCACTGGAAATGAATGCGACTTCACCGTATCTTCATATGTTTTTGAGACAGGGTCTCACTATGTAGCCCTGACTTGTTTGGAACTTTCTACGTAGACCAGGCGGACCTCAAACTCCCAGATTCTCCTCTGCCTCCTGAGCGCTGGGATTAAAGGTGTGCACCACCATGCTTGGCTTCTTGAGTATCTTAGGCAGACCTGAGTTCAGGATTCTGAGAACCAATGAAGGTGACACCAGACAGAGTGAACTACGATGTGGGAAAGAGATTCGATTCTCAGGGTCTATATCAAACTAACTGAGAACTCATCATTATTTGAGCATGGTTACTTCCCAGAAAGACTCATGCCGGGCCCAGTACCTCCATGTCTCTCTGTTTTGGTACTACTAGTATAGGCTTATAAAATGCATCGAGTGTCATCTGAAACAGCTTCTAATTGTACACATTTACTTCAGAATGAATAAAGAAAACCAATCTGTTAGGACTGATAAAGATCCCATGAGCTGTTTTTGTTGTGTGCTATTGCAGTTTTTATATTCTTCAAGGCTTCCTGAAAAAAACTGGGTTAAAACAAACCAATCTTAAAATCCGATACCCTGCCCATGCTGAGCTCCTGGTAGCCAAGGTAGCCAGATGGAAGATTGGCTGAGACAGGGATGTGCTGTTCGTTTGTCAACACCCTTCCGTCTTTCAGGAGCGGAAGCCAGGAATAGCCAACTGTTGAGAACAAAGAACAAGAAAAGCCACTGTGAGTTCACTCCTTCTGAAGGGAAATCACTGCAAGCCTGAGCAACAACTGTTACTATCAATCAAAGTAAGTGATGGGGAGGCCTCGCATAGCCTGACTGAGGCTCTTTGCATGTGCAATTCAGGCACCATAGCATCAGGCCACCTAGAAACCCACCTAGAAACCCTCTGCCAAAAGGATGAATACTAAGAATCAAAATATAACACAAAAACTCCAACATGCAAATGTTAAAACAACAACAACAAAACAACCAAAAGACCAAGAGAGACGGGTTCCCACCTTGTGTTTCAACAGCATCCTTCTTCTTCGTGCTCCCTTTCGTCGAGTTATCGCAGCTGACGTGGAAGAAGGTGAACAGCAGATGGTGCTTCTCATGTAGCTGGGTTGGCAGTTCTATCTTGATCTGCAAAGGCAAAAGAACAAAGTTCCCAACATCCCACAATAGCAAACGTTCCCAGGGGAGGCGGGGTATGCCACCCAACTCGAATGTAGTCGCCTGTTCCCCAAACTCTTCCTAGGATTAAACGTAGACACACCCAAGCTGTTAATGACGCCAAGGAGAGATGGATTCTGAACACCCTGACAAGAGACCGGGGGAGGGGTGATGTCTCTTCCAGGCATAAGCAAACGGGAAAACAGGCACCACGACGCAAACCACACAGCTGTCGGCATGAGAACCTGGGGCTGAACATTTCTTCACATGCAGCGGTTTCACTGAACTACAGTTGACCATGGACAACAGGGTTTTCAACTATATGGGTCTCAGATACGAAGACTTTTGTTTACTTTTGGTGTTTAGCACTAAGAATTAAATCTAGCACCTCACATATACCAAGTACACACTTTCTCACTGTGCCACATCATGATCCTATGCAGAATCTCGGTTTTTGTTTGTTTTATTTATTTATGCTGTGGGACGTTCTGTATGTTAAATGTGTTGCTCTGATTGGCTAATAAATAAAACACTGATTGGCCAGTAGCCAGGAAGGAAGTATAGGCGGGACAAGGAGAGAGGAGAATCCTGGGAAGTGGAAGACTGAGTCAGGAGACGCTGTCAGCTGCCGCCATGAGTACCAACATGTAAGATACTGGTAAGCCACGAGCCATGTGGCAAGGTATAGATTTATAGAAATGGGTTAATTTAAGATGTAAGAACTAGATAGCCAGAAGCCTGAGCCATTAGGCCAAACACTTTAAATAATATAAGAGTCTGTGTGTTTATTTTATAAGTGGGCTGCGGGACTGCCGGGGCTTGGCGGGAGCTGGAGAGAAACTGGAGATTTGCAGTCACTTGCAAAATTCATACACAAACCACTTTACCTAAAATGTCAAAAAATTAAGTACTCATGAGTATATAAAATATATGCAGGTAAAAGTGATACTTGGGGGGGCTATCTGTGTGTGACGTGCAGTACATGTGGGTGGGATATGCACACATGTGGGCATAAGTACACACCCAAAGTGCAAGGAGGCAACAGGATGCAAGGTGTTTAGTATTCTCCCCAGTTCCCTTGAGACATAATATCTCCTTGAGCCTGAGGTAGGCTGGCATCAACACACACCAGGGATCCTCTTATCTCGACCTTCCCCCACCTCTGAGATTATAGATGCATGCGCGGCCATGCTCAACTTTTTATATTGGGGCTGAGGATTTGAACTCGGGTCCTCCTGCTTCTGGAGCAAGTGCTAACCTATTCAGCCATCTCCTTAGTGCCAATGTGCGACCATAAAATCTACACTTACCAATTATTGAGGTAAAATTTATCAAATTGTATGCATCAAACAGATGTCTGGCAACTTTCACAATCAAAAGGAACGCAGCGAGAATGCTAACCCACAACTGTAGGGATTAATGGTAGAACATGCTGTAAGTAATTTAAAAGCCGCCTCCTACTGAGCCTGCAGTGAGCTCAGTGCTGCATGAATCTGTCTAGAATGTGATCAATTTCACCTTCCTGCAAATTGAACACGGCAATAAAAAGTGATCTCTCTTGGTTCTCACGTACTTTTCACCATGTGTAGACTATACAACATATAGAGTTTGTTAACTGATTGCTGTGTTATTGATAGGGCTCTTCCGATTAGCAGCAGGGTATTAAGTAAGTTCTGTATAAATCAAAAGTCACACATGAATTTTAGATCACTCCAAGAGCATGCCACCCCCATGACTCTAGCAGTTCAAGAGTGAGTGAACCATTCCATAGGAGAAAATCCACCAATAAACAGGATGATTCTTAGGTTCAACAGTCCTATGTTCAAGGATGAATTTGGCTTTTGTTTGTTTTATTTTTTAAAATCTAATCATCCTCCAAAGTTTTCCCTTCCTTCCACCCCTCCCTTTCTCTTCAGGAAAGAGCAGGCCCCCAGGGATATCAACTCAAGGGTGAATTTGAAAAGAGTGCTGCTAGAATATTAACTATGGCACTAAAGGTGCAATTAAGAATTTTCTTTTACTAATTTGTAATTTGTGGTTTTATTTATAACAACAAGATGTTAAATAGAAAAAACAGGTAAAACAAACACCGATTCTGCTGTGATTCCAGCAGGGAATGCTGTTTTTTCTTGCTCTCTGCTGTAACTAGAAAAAAGTTTCACGTTTCTCTTAAGACTGGTGAAACTGTGTCATTCTTTGAAAACACCATTACCTCATCATAGAATTCTGGGTTTTGTTGATGGTGTAGAACCGCAGCAAGGGCACTTCTCGTGAACACTGGGCCACCCGGTCTGCCGTAAATGCACTAAAAGGAGGAACAGCAGAAACAAACACTGGGTTTCAGTTGATGGAGTGAGAAATTGGTTAGACGTGCTATAGAGCAAGAGGCTTCTCAGACTGTGTCCGCCTGTGAGAGCCCAGGTCTTCGAGCCTTTAACTCTGGGGTCCCGGGAAACCAGACCTTCCCCAGCCTGTGGCCCACCCCTTCCATTTTCCATGCAAACATTTATATTTGTCTAAATTAAAATAAATACATTTAAAAAAAAAGCTTATTCAATACCTTCCATTTCAGGCAGCCTTCTTTCCACGACAGTGTCTATCAGTAAACTGTAAATTTCTTTTCTCCTCTCCCACCCACTTTCTCCCTTCCCTGGTTTCCTCCCTTTGTGCCAGGGTCTCACAGCCCACGCGGGCCTGGAACTCCCCGTGTGGCCAGAAGTTCTCCAGCCTGCACTGCTGGAGTGCGGCTGTCACAGGCTTGGGCTGCCATGCCTGCCTTTATGAGGTGCTGAGACAGAACCCGGAGCTCTGCGTGTGCTAGGCAGACGCTCCATCGACCCCAACCTAAACTCTAACTATCTCGAGAGTAACTAGCTCTGTTTGCACATTTGTCTCCTTCTCCGGGAAAGTCATTTTAACATAGTAAAGAATTTAGGCTCTGGAGCTGGACCGCTTGGATTTAAAACTCAGTTCTACTAAAGTATATAGCACTGAGCCATTCAAGCCCCGTGTATTAATCTTAGAAGGTAGAAATTATGGACCTTAGTGGATCTATGTGGAAGGTCTGTTTGATAACTGGAAGGGTTAAAGTAGGCCTGCCATGGTGCCGGGAACATCATCGGTCAACGTTGCCTCCGACAACAGACAGTACTGCTGCTGTTCTGTAATCGCTAATTAATGAAGACCCCGTGGTTGATCATGACTTCTACCGTCACACGACTCTTCACACCTAGACACTGTCTGATGCCTGGTGGGTATTGAATACATCCTTACTGAATCATGCACACATAGGAGATCCCATCTCCAACAAGAACAGCAAAACATACTATATATTAAAAAACAAACCTTCAGAGGTTGAGAGTCTTCTTCATCGGAATCTTTGAACTCAATGCAAATAGCAATATTTCTGGCCTGCAGTGGTATGCAAGAGAAAAACATGTAAGAGGGAAAAAAAAAAGGCAACAAAACGCAGCATATATACACGTTTATAAAAGAACCTAAAAGCTAAGTCGTGAAGGAGATGCGTATGTCTGTGCACTCACCTTAGCAAAAGACTTCTGACTGTCATATTTCAAGTACTTTGGGTAAACATAAAGGTGGTTGCTGTAGACCGTATAAGGCTGGGTGTGTCTGGGTATGCAGGGCACAAACTCCTCTACTTCAAAAGTGAGCGGAGATTTACTGCAGGCTTCGAACTGCCTCATGGGAATGTATGATGAATTCAGATAATCTGAAAAGAAATCCCAAATAACACAGAGTGGAGGAAAAGCCAACCAAATAAAACTGTGGGCTGCTTATTACACAGAACTGAACACTTACTGGGGGAGTCAGAGGAGACGTTATCGATCGTGATGTCTAGATTGCCCAAAATCACTGGGAGTTTGGCCATCTTCTCAGGTCTACAAACAAAAGAGGAAATCAAATATTATGAGGGAGGTTAACTTTGAAGTCTAAATTCTCAAGAGGCTTTCTCAGGAAAAGGATATAACAATATATATAATAACACTAGTTGAAAAAAATCACACTTCTACTTTGTAGCAACCACATGAAAAATATTAAAAATAGGTAAAAAAAATATGGCATTCCACTTAGCCCAACATTTGCACAATATTATCATTTTGGAATGTCATCAATACAACAATGTGCTAAGTTCAAAGCCAGTGGTCTGCAGTGCACACCGGGGCTCAGACTTTTTCAGTATTTGAAGTGCTCCTCAGCTCAATGCGGTAGGGAACCGCACAGGTCAGGATACAGAACATCACCAAATAGTTACGATGATACAATGTCACCACATAGTTACAATGAAAGCCTCCCTTCTCCTCAGCCTCACCACAAGATACAAGGCTTGTTTGGAATAATCTGCATTTAGAACCAGAAGCCACATCAATGCTGGGCATGGAGTAGACGATCAATGAAACTCTTGTCATTCATCTGACTCCATCTAATAGTCTCCCATTGTCACTGGGAAGAGCTGCTACTGTTGTCAAAGAAACCAACACAGTCATGTGACACCAGGCCCCCTTCCTCACAGACGACAAAATTCCCTTCTCTGAAGTATTTGCTCACTAAGAGTCCAGGAAAATGTTCCTCTTTCAACCATCTACAGCTAATACACAGTCTTTTTATTTTTAATTTGGGGTGTGTGTATGTGTGTGTGTGTGTGTGTGTGTGTGTGTGTGTGTGTGTGTGTGTGTATGTGTATGTGTGTATGTGTGTGTGTGTGCCCTTGGAGGTCAAAGGCACCAGATCTCCTGGAACTTGAGTTATAGGTGGTTGTGAGCTGCCTGATGTAGGTGCTGGGGATCAAACTTAAATCCTCTGAAAAACTAGCATGTGCTTTACACGTTGGGACATCAGGATAGGACTTATTTTTGTTCTGATAAAACTTTATCTTTTTATGTTTGAACTGTTCATAGTTGACTCCTCCTGAACCCAGGTTCTAGTCTCTGATCTTCCTAGGAGCTTCATGTCATGAAGATACTTGACCAGCATAGTATACGTTATATTGCACAGAATACTGCCAAGAACATGTTCTTAAGAAATCCTCCATTTCCACGTGGTAACTAATGACTCCAACAATCAGACAGCTGCTCACTCACATCCCTGAGTCACTCATGGGAGGCCACAGGTAACCATGGCAATCATACTGTGCCAAGGGCGTTACACTCCTCTGTGGCACCAGCTTAGCCAATCAGTTTAGAAGAGATGTGGTCAAGGTGACCAGCTCAACATGACATGGCCGGTCCTGGAACAGAGTGCCGTGATGGCTCTTCAAAAGCCACCCGTTAATCATTCCTCTCACAGTATTGCCAAGGAACATGCAAGCTCAGTGTCTGTGTTGATTAGAGGTTTGTCAACTCGACACAAGCCTGGGTTGAATGGGAAAATGCTCCCATCAGATTGGCCTGTTGGCAAGTCTAGGGAGCATTCTCTTGATCAATGACGGCTGTGGGAGGACCCAGCACACGGGATGAGGCCACCTCAGGGCAGGTGGTCCTGGTTATATAAGAGAGCAAACTGAGCAGGCCACGAGGAACAAGCCAGTCAACAGAATTCACTCATGGCACCTGCTTCCCTTCCTGCCCTGGCTCCCTCCATGGACGGTGACACAGTAGTGTCAGCCCTGGCCTCCCTCCATGGACCGTGACACAGTAGTGTCAGCCCTGGCTCCCTCCATGGACCGTGACACAGTAGTGTCAGCCCTGGCTCCCTCCATGGACCGT